TGAATTCGAGTTGCAAGACGTTGCACGTGTTTCTCACAATACTAATTTATACAGGTACTTAGGATGCCCGTTTTTATGGTTCTTCAGTAAGATAATGAAACCATCTATTTGTTTTATATTACTTGTTTTAGTTCAATAATTGTGGAGTATTGGATTGAATCGGTACTTAGGCATTATCCATTTGGGCATGTTTGAATTGACTACTTTTTGTTATTTCAATTTGTAGTTTTCTTGAAGCGGAGTTAGATTCATTATTACTTCCTTTAATTTTAGATTTTAGGGTATGAAATTGTGTTGGGGTTAGATTTTAGGGCACAATATTTTCTAATATACACTGTGGCAGATTTTCATTTGATCCATCTGAAAAATTGGGGGTGGATGTTGCTTCATGCATCGTTACAAGGTATGTTTCTCATTCCTTCTGTCCTCCTCCACCCTTCTTTTTCAATATGAGGTATATTTTTCTTTTCCTGAAAGATGGTTATTATTGTTAAGTTAAAAGGAATATGCTTCTTGGTTATTCATTCCGGTGCATTGTTGTAACCACAGAGCTCCAATTGATAAAGACGAACAGGGGGAAGTAAAATACGTTGCACGCTCGTAAGTCTTCTTGTTCAAGTATTTATCTCTATGTGATTGTTGCAAATTTGGTGTCAGTAAGTTGGCGTTTTCGATGGTTTGACATAGTTATAGATGCTTTAGAATTCAGGCAATTGATTATGGAGTGAAAATACTCACCTCCTTGGGAAGTTGAGATTTCCAGTCTATTCCATGTTGTATGCACCAAAACAATATTCCCAGTTCAAACTTTCTGATATTCCAATCTATTTATATCATCTTCTTGTTCACCATCAACCCAACCCCTCTATTTTATATTACTTGACCTTCATGAAGTTGTTTTATTAGCGAGTCGATTTAAACAAAAAAAGAAAGAAAAAAAAAAGAGGAAAGCATCAAGATGAGATTCAATTGAATTTATTGATGTATATAATGTGATCACTTTTGTCCAGTTATACACCTATATCAGATCCCGAGGCCAAGGGATACTTTGATCTACTAATTAAGGTATAGTGTTCTTCATGCTGCCGCCTATATTTCCTCAGTTGGATATCTACTTATCCTTTTGGAGACAAAATTTCTTTACAAGTGTGAATGTGTTTTAACGAGTTTGTGGTTTCTTTCGTGAATTTTGCAGATATATCCTCAAGGAAAAATGACTCAGCATTTTGCTAAATTGAAACCTGGTGATAAACTTGAAGTGAAAGGGTATTTTTTTTTTATTTATTTTGTCTTCGTCGTTACCTCCAGGTCATGTATTGTATGTCCTATGTGACTCTCTTTTCCTTAAACTGCTGTGCAGCCCCATTCGAAAGCTCAAATACTCTCCAAACATGAAGAAACACATTGGCATGGTAAAATGAATCATCTCAGATTGCTTGTGAAAGTATAATTACACTTATAACTGATCTCCTTCCCATATCATCATTTGGTTGTCAATGCTATGACCATTAGCAACTTTTATTTTAAATAGAAAAAAGTTCAAGATTACATTTAACTTTTATATATTTTTATTGGCAAGCAGATCGCTGGTGGCACAGGAATTACTCCAATGCTTCAGGTCATTGATGCTATAGCAAAAAACCAAGATGACATTACACAGGTGCGCAATGATCTTTTCTTGCAAAGTTTCCGGACTAAGCCAAAAGTAACCAGTAAAGTCGAAAACCAAGGTTCCTGTATTTTCCCTTTCATTAGATTTTGTGCAGTTCATTACATAACAACCAAGAATATGTATTTCTTCAATCACTTATTTATCTTTCTTTGAACAAATAACAAAATTTTCATTGATTTAGTGAAAAGGTCCAACGGAGAATCGATACTCTCTGTCAATCCCCTGTTTGAAGCTTGGGGTAATTTACCCAATTGGAAAAAATAACAAAAGAAGAATAATTGTGAAAAGCATTTCATAGAGAAAAACATGAAGTACTTCGGGCTTTAGCCACATCAAAGGAACGAAGGTTAGAGGCCAAAAAAACATGAAGTACTCTGAAACTTACCTTATTCAACCATTTCATCCCACTGACTTATTTTCTATTACAATTCCACCATGCCACACCTTTGACTGCAATCATCCATAGAATTTTGGAACTTTATTTTCTCCTTAGCCAAGAAAAATTCCCAGCATTTTGGGCATTGAAGCAGCATTTTCTTCGAACACTGTAATGTAAGAACTCGGGAAATATAGATAATGGACACTAGTTGGTTTTTCAACCTACCTTCATTTGTGCAGTACAAGCACACAATTAGTTCAACTATAACTTTTTCATCATTGCTTGAGCATACCCCTTAATGATTACAGGTCTCGCTGATTTTTGCGAATGTGTCTGCCGATGACATATTGCTTAAAGAGAAACTTGACAAACTTGCAGCTTGCCACCCAAATATAAAGGTATCATCTGTTTCATTATTGAAGAGTTGCTGTACTATTTAGAACAACGATGTCCTATCAAATGGTCGTAAGATGACATATTTGGAACCTAGCTTGAATATCGTGCAATAAGTGAAATAGAGCATGAGAATAATTAGAAACCAAAATAATAATAATGATGATGATGTTGTTGAAGATAAATAGAAAACTTGGCCAAAAGGATCAAAATTTGTTTCCGTGTGCTGAAGCATGTGTTAGGCATCGAAAGGATACCAAAAAAGATCATATTTATTATTAATAAATCGTTATCATAGGATGCTGCATCATAGTGCATGCTATAAGATTAGATCTTTGTTTAACATATCAGAATAGAAGTTCATATTTTGAAATGAAACCCGCCAATATGTCCAGAATCTTTACATTTACTATGAGAACGATTTAATCCCTTTCCCTTTTTTGTATGCTTGTGTCAATTATTTTTTTTCCAACGTCTTTGTAAAAGTGATGGGCTCTATGGTAATAAAAATGTAGGTATTCTACACTGTTAGTAATCCACCAAGGGGTTGGAAGGGAGGGAAGGGACATGTATCAAAGGATATGATCATCAAATGCTTACCTTCCCCTGGAAATGACGCACTAATCCTCGTAAGTGTTTGTTGTTGTTGCCGTAATACTTCGGTACCTGATAATCTTTGCCGTTCATGTCTATCTCAATGCGATATGATCAATAACAACCAGCCTACAAGTCATTTTCCTCGATTGGGAAGGAAAATAAAAAATAGTTTTACAAACTTGTGTTGCCTCTTCTAATCTAGGATTCTCGTTATCACAATAATATGTCGAAGCATGCTGTTGAATACCAGTTGGGTCATTTAAATATGCTTCCCTTTTTGGGGTAATCCTTCGTATCATGTATCATCTAGATCTGTATGTAAATTATATCGAGCATTGCCTGCAGAGCTAGGCATATAGGTGTTAGTAACAGTGTAAGCCTACTGCTAGTAGATATTATTCGTTTTGGCTCGTTATGTATCGTCTTAAGCCTCACGATTTTAAAACTCATCTACTAGCAGACAATATCTACTAATGTGGGTTTAGTCTGTTACAAATGATATCACAGTCAGGCGATGATGTGTCAGTGAGGATGCTGACCCCCAAGGGGGTGGATTGTGAGATCTCACATCGGTTGGAGTGGGGAACGAAACATTTTTTACAAAGATGTGGAAACCTCTCCCTAGTAGACGCGTTTTAAAACCGTAAGGCTGACGACTATAAGTAACCAATCAAAGCGGACAATATCTACTAGTAGTAGGCTTGGACTATTAGAATATTCCTTTTAGTTATTTCATGGACATTCCAATTATGTCAAGCAGCTCCATAACGATAGCACAAACAGTATTGTTTATTTGCCATGAACTTGGGGGAATATGTACCAACATTTCATCCTTTTTTTTTTAATTCTGATAATTGTGCTACCTACAAATTCCTTTCATGCATTGGAAGATAAGGCATTCATAAAGTCCCTCCCACACCCATATAGTTTTGAATGCATATTACATACATTTGGATAGATACATAAATGACTTTCTTCCATGTGTTCAGGTATGTGGTCCACCAGGCATGATGAAACATATATGTGGGCCGAAGAATAAAGATTTCACACAGGGAGAGGTACCTTATTATATATGGTCTTTTCAATTGGCCAATCATTAACTTGAATTGATTCATCGACTGTTATTACAAGATTAATGTACAATTGTTTTACTACTTTCTTGCAGCTTGGTGGCTTACTTAAGGATCTTGGATATTCTAAGGATATGGTTTTCAAATTCTAAGAAGATTGGCGTACAATTTTGAGGTATTGACGTATAAACTTTGTGCGAGGAAGTCTTTTCTAAAGCATAGGTACATTTGCGTCATTCGACCAAAATTTCAATGCAAACTAATTTCAAAGGTGGTGTTCATTAGATAAGTTAATCTTTTGATGGTGGTTGTTGTTTTTTACTTTTTCTTTCAAGTGTATAACACCTAGGTGTTTGTTCCACATAATGATGTTCGAGTGAAATAGCATATCAAACATGTATTTCAATTGTTGTTTCTATTTAGAAACGATTTTGAAATACTTACAATCGCTCGTGTCAGATTTAATTCTTAGCATAGCTTATAGCTTAAATCAAAGTAGAAGAAACTAGCGATTTCTCTAGAAAAATTGATCACTTGAACATTTGTTCACATAGGCAGTATAGAGTGAAGTGAAGTAGATTCAATGTCGGTTTAGAATGACTTTTCAAATGCTTAAAAATACTTTTCTTTTCGTCGAATAGGACATTCTCTAATAAATCATTTTTAGCTCTCTTAAAGAAATGGACCGACTCCCATCGTACTTTTTCAGATATATCTTGATGTCTCGACTATTCACGTAATGTAAGAAGCAGATAAATAGAGAGACGATATCTCCATAGCATCATTTAGTCGAATGCTTGCATAACCTTGGTGTTACTTTAGGCTTTACTTTAGGCTTGAAAAATGTGGGAAGAAATAGAACTAAATAGAGGGAACAATAATAAGAACAAATTGGTTTTGTACAATATTAATAAAAATTGCCTTTACATTAGGTTCATTAAATGAACTCATTCATTCAGTAGCTTTCTGAATCTTAGTTCTAAATAATAAAATATATAATTCCTCCATTGAAAAATATAGGAAGCAACCTGTTGAGTGGGTCACAAATGACCCAAAACTTGAGCCCACAATACAATGCCAGGCCGGCCCATGTACTTTGTCAAACTCCTGCATTAGGCCCAATTCAATTAGTTTTTTTATATATAGATTTAAAAATATATATATATTTTTTTTTTTTTGTTAATTTTTTTCGGGTTTGACCACTCTACCCTTTTAATTTATGTCTAATAAATTCATAACGTTCTCAAAACCATTTTTTTTATTACGATTCAATCTCGATCTCAAAATTTTCACAACCCTTATCGATTCTCATCTCTTAACGAATCTTGGTGATATTAATTTAATTTAGTAATATGGGAAAATTTTATAATATGATTGAAAAAATAAAAAATCATTAAGCAATGAAGTAATCCACATGGATTACAAGAAAAAGGAAGGGCTCCATTTGAATGAATATATCAAATTGTTAGCTTAAAATATGTGCTAATCACTATGTGTTTACTCATCTAAACACATGCCTTGTCGGATCCTTTTCCAATTGGCCACTTCAATTATGTCTCCAAATTTTAGATAATATAATGGTCAAATTTCGTTTTTTTTTCCGTGATTTCTTCGTTGTAATTTTTACGCTCGAAAAGAAAACAATCAAAACTTTGAAATAAAACAAGTTTTTTTTTAAAAAAAACTATGCCCCGTTTGAATTTCGATAATATTCGTTGGTGCTATGAGCCGCCCTGTTTTTTTAGTTTTTCGAAAATTTGAAACCCGTTAACGATTTGTTCGGTTCACTTGAAGGAAGCGAAAGAGTAAAGAAAAAAAAAAAAAAAAAAAAACTTAGCCAATATAGAACAATACATTACCTTTTTAAGATTGTAAGCCATGAGCTTTGAGCTGAACTTCTCCAAGCTGTCATAGCTCCTCCTTGCACATCTAAACGCCTGAATTTGCATCATCTCAGGCATGTCTGATACCAATACCTTCACTTGAAGAAATGAAGCCACTGATCCCAAGTTTGTTTCCACATGGGAGACTGACTTCCTACCCTCAACCACCATCTTTCTCCCCTCTGTTCCCCCGCCTTCGTCACCGCCCCCACCGCCCTTCGCTCCTCTCGGCCCGCCATGTTGATGAACTGCCTTCTTACTCTTCCTACCCAACCAGTTATACTTGTAAACATATGCTTTATCCACTGAAACAGACTCACATGCTTGTACGTTACAAGCTCCATCCCGAGACTTGTAAAAGGACTTGAATCCTCCTTTCATTTGCTTGTTTACAGTAGTCATCACGATCTCGAGAGAGCATAGTTTGGTTCATCAACTATATAAAGAAAAAAAAAAGGGTTAAATGATTAGGGAAGTGGTTGAGAATAATCTAAAGAGGCAAGCCATGTGTTATTGCCTTCCATCAAGGATAATAAATTGGTTGTGAAAGATTTGAAATATTTTGTTCTTTGTGAGCTTAAATTTTTATTTTTTTAATTTAAAAAAATAAAAAAAACACCTTATTTGTAGGGTAAGGTACCTTTTAAACTATAGGGTTGGTTGGTTTATTTGTCCATAGAAAAGAAAGGAGATCTCATTTTAAATAAAATAAAATAAAATATGCTTCCTAAAAATCAAAATTGTGGACATTTGGAGACCATAGGATATGTTGTGAACCCAAAAAAAACATGTTTCTATAATTAATATATATATCCCACTTTGGAAGCGGCTCAATCGGAGGTACGGTCCAGTGGCTGGAAGAGCATCACACGTCGCGTGGTGTCTGGTGTGCCCCGACGGTCCTTGAAAATTTAGAGGACCGAGTGCCTCCCATGCACGGTCATACTCATAGCTGCATCAGGTCTCCAAGGTGAATAGCCTCTGGTTGATGGAACAATGTAGGCAAGAGAAGTCGGTAAAATGGATCCGTAAGGACTGTAACTTTAGGAAAAGGATTGGCTCTAAGGGCTGGGAACGAGGGTCCCAATCCCGAACCCATCGACTGTTGATGGACTGCAAGAGCTGCTCCCGCAGCGAGAGCAGGTCACTGCGTGCTGCCCGGGATATATATATATATAAAATAAAATATTTAGGCAATATGTTAAATTATGATTATTATTTTATATCGAATCGAAATTTAAAAAATTTAGTTCGATTATTTTAGGTCAACTATTACGAGATAAGATATGGAACAAATTTAAAATGCTTATTACTATTATTATTATTTACTTATTTTTTTAAAATGTAATAAATTTAAAATAATTGATTAGCTTTTCTGCTAATAAATATTTGAACCTAAAAAATAGTCTTTTTCCTTAATAATATAATACCGAACGCGGCCGTATGGGTAGGCTATAACATGTGCTTTCTAAGAAGAGTTCATAATTGATGCGCTTTTTCAATTTAGTCGGATATTAATAATTTATAGTACCGTGTATTTCTTTTTTGAAGTCGGGACCATAAATTCCTAACTATTCTTAAGATACATGAATGAATCGAGACTATACTTAAATGAGAATGTGTAACGCCCCAGATCCACCGTTAGTTTGGGTTTTCCCTTTCGGACTTCTTCTCAAGGCTTTAAAACGCGTCTGCTAGGGGAAGGTTTCCACACCATAATAAATTGTGGTCTGTTCTCCTCCCCAACCAATGTGGGACATCACAATCGCCTTGTGTCTACCCCCCTTCGGGGAACAGCAAGAAGGCTGACACATCGTTCGGTGTTTGGCTCTGATATCATTTGTAAGGGTGTGACACATCTTATTAACATCATAATCGCCTTGTGTCTACCCCCCTTCGAGGAACAGCAAGAAGGCTGACACATCGTTCGGTGTCTACCTCTGATACCATTTGTAAGGGTGTGACACATCTTATTAACATCATAATCGCCTTGTGTCTACCCCCCTTCGAGGAACAGCAAGAAGGCTGACACATCGTTCGGTGTCTGGCTCTGATACCATTTGTAAGGGTATGACACATCTTATTAGGGTGTGGAAACCTTTCCCTAGGAGTGCCTTGAGGTTTGTAAGGGTATGACACATCTTATTAGGGTGTGGAAACCTTTCCCTAGGAGTGCCTTGAGGAGAAACCTGAAAGGAAAAGCTCAAAGAGGACAATATCTGCTAGCGGTGGTTGTGTACCTTTCAGGCTTTAAAATGCGTCTGCTAGGAGAAGGTTTCCACACCTTTATAAATTATGGTTTGTTCTCCTCCTCAACCAATGTGGGACATCACATAAAGATTTTGACAATATGATAGTAAAGAAAAACTTAAAAAATTCAAGTTATTATCTATACTAAAAAAGGACAGGTTTCTTCCTTTGTAGGGTTGTCAACCACTATTGTATAATAATTAAATAAATAGTTTAAAAAGGGAAATTCAAGATAGGTAAATAAGGGTGTGACGAATTATATTTAAATTATGAAAATAAATAAAAGAATTATTCGAAATACTTTATTGTAAAAATAATAATAATAATTGTAGGGTATGCTTGACATTAATTAATAAATAATGCATTAATTGTTATATGTGTCACAATAAATTAACCCCTAGACCATGCTTGCTAAGACAGCTAGCATCATCACCTTCCCATTGAGAATAAGCATATAATATAAATTACATAAAATAAATAAAATTTTTACAATAAATAAATAAATAAAATTATTAAGTGGAGTGAATATGACCTATAAAAACAAAGAGAATATTGAACAATATTCTCATTTTACATGGGCCCCATGGATATGGGGTAAAAGGCATTGGATATATTATTGGTTTTAACTATTTTTTTTCTCTTTTATTTTTTTATTTATTTTATTTTATACCTAAATATTTTAACATCTATAACTACGAGATAAGATATGTGAAGATGAAATTTTAAAACGTGGATCGGTTGTCGTGTCTCAATTTGGTGGGATCTGAGTTCGAGTAAATTGTTCTCAATTTTACATTGTTGGATGTGTAAGATGGGGTTTGCTGGAATCGGTTCTTAAGTTTTACATTGTTCGATGTGTGAGAAAATGTTTGTGAAATTTTACAAATGTACTCGTGTCGGGAGGTTATTAAGAGGGTAGGTAAACTTACATGAGATAAACTTCTGCCCTCTCAATAGATTCGAACTGTAACAACTCAAGCCTGCCGCTAATAGATATTGTCCGTTTTAGCCTGTTACGCATCGTCGTTAGCCTCACGGTTTTAAACGTGTTTGCTAGAGAGAGGTTTTCACACCCTTATAAGGAATACTTCATTCCCCTCTCTCATGATATGGGATCTCACACGAACTTTGTTTAAGGAGAGATTATCTAGGAGGTCATCATAGTGTGCCTGACAATTCTTCACTATTGATGTATGAGGTGAAAATTAAAAAAAAAAAAAAAAAATTACTCGTGTCCAGTGGATATTAGGGAGTCAGGTAAGCATATTTTGGATCTACATCTAATCGATTATTAAGAAGCAGTCATAGTAAAAATTTTACCTTGTTCACGGGCTTTACTTTATTTGTTCGTGTGGGGTAAGATAAAAGAGTGTCGTAGCTTCAAACTTATATCAAAACACAATAATTCTCCCCAATGGCACTATCCTTATTCAAGATGATTTGAAATTGCACCAAATCCCTTAACGAATTATGATAATCACACGTTAAATTAGGATGAAAGGACAGATATATGTTTGAATACGAAAATTGAAAATTAAATGCATGATTATAGTTTTAGAATATGTTTGAAAGTTAAAAAGGACACTTAGCCCACTATCCTTCTTTCTATATAAATACAACAAATGTGTGTGTGTATGCAAAGTTGTGGGTCTCCCATGTCTTCTAGAGATAGGGAGTAATGAATGGATGCATTTGGAGGGTGCCTTAATGCTTATCCATGCCATTAATTTTGTTGTTTGAGGCCTCATTTCAATGGCTACCCTCGTTTATAGGAGCCTTGTGGCCTTAAAGCTAAGCATCCATACCTTTCAATACCAGTCATCTCCTGTTTTTAGTGAAAAAAAATTCCATGTTATTTATTAGTAGAGGCTTGATCAAGCTCGATTTACTTTTATCTGTTGTTCTATTCATGTTTGGTTAAATAATATGTTAGTTCACTTTTAAAACGCGAACAAATGTAACTTATTCATAAGATTTTTGGCTTTATCCTTTTAGTCTTTATTTGATTTCCCTATGTTGGCTGTAGGTTTGAAACAATTTTTTTGTTGGTGTTTGCTTTGAGGAGGTTCTACTCCATGAAAACGCTCTTTAATGGAGCTGCAAGTACTATTTTTACCCAAGGTTTTGCTGAACGTGTATATACAGAATGCGAGAATTTTCACCTAGTTGAAGATCTAGTGGTTTTCACCTAGTTGAAGATCTAGTGGTGCTATACTGGAGAGTGAATACTCTTGAACTCTGAGAACAATAACACAATGTTGTATTGAGGATCTAACATTCTCGGACTTAGACCTCAAGTTTATCCACAACTGAGAGAGCTCTTTTAGACTCTGGACTTTGATAACAACTTTTTATTTAAAATGTCTTCGACCAAATATTAAAATGAATGTAAAATTAAAATCCTAATAATAATAAACTTTTTAGGTAACCGAGAAAAATCTCCTTCTACGCCCTCCCCATTCTCCGTTTAAGCTAAAATCTCTTTTTTATTGTGATGAACTGAATTTTCTATGTTTGTAGCTGTCTAGGTACTTGGGGCAGGAGTTGAGGTACTGAAAAAGTTTGGGAGCAAGTTCAAGTTTGAGCTAGATCGAGCATAGTTCGTTTAAAGTATATACCCTCTATCAATATTGGATGTCACATTGATTATCATCCCATACTCTTCCTATCCTTTATAATATTGGGTATAAATTAGAAGTAAAGTTCTATCTTACTTGTTAATCCTTGGAGGTTAAGATCAGCAATACCAAGGCACCAGTAAGGATGTACTGCAATAACACAACAAAACGAGTAGTCAGTGAAGAACAAACTCCAACATTAGTTGAAATCAAATCATTCAAAATGAGAATCCAATTCTATATCCATTAAATCTGTTTCCAACAGTTCCAGACCTTGATTATAGGCAGGTCTGTCATGATAATTGTTCCATAACCAACATATGGCAAGAAACTGCACAAGAAAAAATTCACTTGTATGAAACAGAGCATTCTAATGGACATGAACTCGACAAATATGGTTAGATTTTGGAGAAATAACAACGAATTCAAGCATGATTCATCGTATTATCAGTCGTTATTCCAAGTGTACCCGATGACTTTTCCCATGATGTGGTGTCTTTGCAACCAAAGCTGATCCTTAGCATATAGTCCAATGTCATCATAGTCATTATTGTCACCTGAACATTTGCTCATTGCCAAATATTCAGCAACAATCACTTCATTTCAAAAAGTTTTTTGTATTCTTAGTTCAAGTTCAAGTACCTTTTGTAAGTATATAATCTTCTCCTGTATCTCTTGCCTCGTGAACCTGATAAGATATGGAATTGAGAACTTGTAGACCGAGCTAAACTATAACAAATGAACGTTTCTGTTTGTTTCATTGTCACATGGGTGAAGTTATTTGCAAAGAGTTCTATCGATGACTTTAGAAAGACAATAAGAACCATCAGAAGTAAGGAATCTGTAATAGTCCAACCCTACCGCTAGCCGATATTGTTCTCTTTAGACTTTCTCTTTCGAGATTTCTCTCAAGGTTTTTAAAACGCGTCTGCTAGAAAGAGGTATCCACACTCTTATAAATAATACTTCGTTCTCCTCCCCACCGACGTGGGATCTCAAAGACTCGTTTTCTATTTAGCCACTACAACATCGTAGTTCTAAACTTAAAATATGGTTGTGTTGAACAAACCATATAGTCCAAAATAAATTGCTTCAATGATACATATGATCGATAATAAAATAAGTTGTCTGCACTTTGAAGTTCATCTCAAAGATAGAGAAATTCTTCTGAGAAGCCTTACCTTGATTACACGATGGACGATTGGAATATCACGTCCCTAGAAAAGCATTACAAATGCATATTAGTACAAGAACCAGAATGATAGGCTACGAAGTCACAACTCTATAGGTAATAGACAATATGAATAACTATCTATAATAGATTAGATTGGAGTTTCTCTGAACAGATATATTTGAACAATTAGTGATTAGAGGTTAACGAGGTAAAATCTTAACACAAATCAAAGTAAGGAAAAGAAATACTTCCATCTTAACATAGAAGAATGAACTCACTCTCTCCCGAAACGGTCAAAGTCCACTGTTAATAGATATTGTCCTCTTTGGACTTTTCTTTTCGGATTTTCCCTCAAGGTTTTTAAAACGCATCTGCTAGGGAGAGGTTTCCACACCCTTATAAAGAATGTTTCCTGCTCCTCCCCAACCAATGTGGGATCACACAATCCACTCCCTTCAAGGCCCAGCGTCCTTGCTGGCACTCGGTCAAAGAATGCTTCGTTATCCTCCCCAACCGATGTGGGATCCCATAATCCACCCCCCTTCAGGGTCCAACGTCCTCGTTGGCACTCATTCCTCTCTCCAATCGATGTGGGATCTCACAATCCACTCCCTTCAGGGTCCAGCGTCCTCACTAGCACGCCGTTCGGTGTCCACCCCCTTCGGAGCTCCACGTCCTTACTAGCACACCACCAATTGTCCAACCAAAATTGATTTCATAACTAAAAAAATAAAAAATAAAAAATAAAGACTAGCTATAACAGTGTAGAAATGTATCACATTAGTTCATGACGCAGCAGACCTGGGAGCAGATTCCCTACACATGAGAGCAAACTTACCTCAACATTGTACACAACGATCTCCCCTGCACGAATTGGATCCTTATTCATATGGAGGAAGAGAATGTCGCCCTGCACCATGTAAAACTCATCATAAGCTTTCCCTCATTATGTGCATAGCCACAAATGTAGTATCAAATATGCTATTGCTAACAAGGCTAGGTGAATATACACCAGAATGAAGCATTATAGTTAATAAATACTTTATCCTGTAACATGATCAAGAAAAAGGCTAAATCTGATATATAAGAGCCATAGTATTTATTTATTTATTTACTTGGGACTCAGCTAATTCCAAGAGACGATTATCGTTTTAGGATAAAAAGTTTTTGACACAAGTTTCTATTCATAGTTTTAAAGACCAGATTCCAACCATGTCTTCTAAATTAGCCTTTGGGTTAACCAAAGAGAGTTAGACATCATAGTTCAAGGTTCAGTTGAGTCGTTCATTCATTTTAGACCCAAGCTAATATCAAATGCAAACCATTGTAACCGCTCAAGTCCATCGCTAACAAATATTGTCCACTTTTGTCGGCTACGTATCACCGTCAACCTCATAGTTTTAAGACGTGTCTGTTAGGGCGAGGTTTCCATACCCTTATAAGGAATACTTCGTTCCCCTCAACCGATGTGGGATCTCACAATCTACTTCCCTTGGGGGCCAGCGTTCTTGTTGGTACACCGCCTGGTGTCTGGCTCTGATACCTTTTGTAATAATCCAAACCTACTGCTAGTAAATATTGTCCACTTTGGCCCATTATGTATTGCCGTCAATTTCACGGTTTTAAAATGCGTCTGCTAGGAAAAAGTTTCTACACTCTTATAAGAAATGTTTTGTTCCTCTCTCCAACCGATATGAGATCTCACACCTTTTGAGTTTAAGAAAGAGATTTCAACCTTTTAACTTATAACAGGTTGAGTAATGCTGAGGTTGAAAAATGTTATAACCACTTTAAGAAAACATATCTTATAGAATCAGCTCACCCTCGCAAAACCAGGTTCCATACTTCCGGTGAGCACAACCACAACAGGTGACTCACTCCCTGTCCAGCACATCAATGCTTTCCAAATCATCAATGCAGATGTAACGATCAAACCTGATACATCATAATATTGGTCTTAAAGCAAATAAATGGAGAAGAGAATGAGTTTTGCTGCTGGATTCCAGGACCAAGGAATTCCAATATAAAAACAAAAAACAGCTAAATCTTTTTTCTCCCTTCCTCTACAATATGTTCATTCTGGGGATGATAAGGAAAAATACTATTGAAATTTCCTAAACTTAGATGGTTATGACTATTTAGTCATAAATTTTCCAGATAGAGCAGAGCTTTAAGCAGTTCAAAAACCATCAATTCGGTTCATAAGCAGTATAATCATTTGATACACAACAAAACGTGAATGAAATACCAAAGATTCAATTTACGTACCAAAACTGATAGCCTGAGATAGAATCCGTCTGATTTTGATGGATTTCAAAGACTCGGGGATCTCTCCAATCCAATCCATGTTGGCTCCGCTCTTTCTCTGCTGTTTTGAGAGCTATGAACTGAGTTTTATGTACTCAATGGAAATGGAATTGGAATTTTTTCCAGAAGAACTGAAAATTCTTCGTGATCTAACGAACAGTTCATATGAAAAACTGAGTTTCCTTTTGAAGAACTTCCTGAGCTCTGACCTTTCGCCATTTCGCGGGTTCAGTCGTCCCGGTTTCTGCTAGCGTGGCTCTGGATTTCTATTGGCTCCCTGATCGTCGTGGGCCCACCTCATGAACAAAAGAAAATAAATAATTATTTAATCGTCGTTGAATAATAAAATTATGTATTTAAAATTAATTATTATCAAAATTGGTCAAACAATAATAATATTTTTTTATGCACAAACGGTGAATATATTACAACCATAAATGAAAATTCCAAAAATTAAGTTTAATTAAAACCCAAATTAATAAAATTAGGAAAACTTTAATTATGAATTGGGCTGAGTGGGCCCAAAACCACAAATATATGGACCAAGCCCATGTAGTTGGGCCGACCCAGCTTTAATTAGATACATAAGTTGGGCCCAAAGCCCAATTTAGACGGGAACTTCCAAGGGGATCGGCCCGATTAGCATGATTCTTCTCTGTGTCTTCCATACATATATCATCGAGAATTTACCGGTAGCTCTTAAACCCTAATTCCTTTCCTTCAAAATCTGCTGTGTTAAAACCCTACCGTTCTTCTTCGATCTAAAATGGTACTGTGTCTCTGTTTCGAGTTCATGTAGGAGATGGATTCGCTTAAAGGACTTGTATTGATTTTGTTTGCGTTTGTTTTCGTGGATTTTAATGGCTGTTGCGTTTTTTGCAGACAGGAGAAGCGGTGAATCCCAAAGCCTATCCTTTGGCTGATGCGCAGCTTACGATTACTATTCTTGATCTTGTTCAGCAAGCTGCTAACTACAAGCAGCTAAAGAAGGGCGCGAATGAAGGTTCCGTGATTTGTTTAGTGTTGGTGCCTTTTCATTTAAAGAAAGTTTTAGGTTTTTAAGAAGAATTGGATGAGGATTTCGCTCGGCGTTTTATGTTTTCTTTGGCTGATAGTTTTCTTTTAATGGAGTTTCAGCTACTAAGACGCTGAATAGAGGGATTTCGGAGTTTGTAGTGATGGCTGCGGACACTGAGCCGCTTGAGATTCTTCTCCATCTTCCCTTGTTGGCGGAAGATAAGGTAAATCTATTTCATTTTTTGAAGTTTTGCTTGAAAAACCATGCTTTTCAGTTGTTATTTATGAAAACTATGATTATGGAAAATGGGAGAATGAACATATTGAAGGATTCGCATGTCTCCCCTGCCTGTTCTTGTACTGTTTGTTAACCAATAAGACCATGGTGTTCTCTGTTCGGAAAGTATTTGGATTTAGCTTCTCTATAGACGTGACAGTTAGCAGCACTTCCTCTTTTTTGTTACTTTTGGACAATCTCAATTCATTCTTCTCTGCAGCTTATTTACCATTTTAGCTTTTAATGTATTTCATATCTTTGTGCCATGGAATCCTGCTGCGGTTAATAGGGAAGAAATGTAGTGAGGTAGTATAAGAGCTTCCTTTCTTTTAGCATATAGAGGATTAGAAGTTGCAGGTTTGACCCCTTCCCCTATTCCAGCCGATATGGGATATTTGAGTCTAGGGAGAAAATAGGAAAGGAGATTTCACTATGTATTTTTTTTAATTTTACTAATCTTTTTTTAATAGGGAGGGGGCTTTTTCCCATATGGCAAGAACTTTCAGTTGCATGTGGCAAGAACTTATTATTTCAGTTGCATATGGCAAGAACTTATTATTTCAGTTGCATATGGCAAGAACTTATTATTTCAGTTGCATATGGCAAGAACTTATTTCAGTTGCATATGGCAAGAACTTATTTCAGTTGCATATGGCAAGAACTTATTTCAGTTGCATATGGCAAGAACTTATTTCAGTTGCATATTGCAAGAACTTATTTCAGTTGCATATTGCAAGAACTTATTTCAGTTGCATATTATAAGGAATTCGAACAATTGCTAATCTGGAATGCAAAGTATGAAATTTATCCTTTAATCTTTCAGGGAGTCGAGATAGAACTGACCATGTTGCTGATTCTAACAAAATCATGTGTCTATCAAAATAATTAGTGCTTATTGATCAGTTTTATAACAATATTATTTTCGAATACGCAGAATGTGCCATATGTATTTGTCCCTTCAAAGCAAGCTCTTGGCCGAGCATGCGGAGTCACGAGACCTGTAATAGCGTGTTCTGTAACAACAAACGAAGGAAGCCAATTGAAATCCCAGATACAGCAACTGAAGGTTATTGCTACAACCTCTTTCTTTTGGTCTATCTTCGTTGTAAAGTGTGATCCATTCTTGATTCGGTGTCTTTTCTTCTAATTACAGGATGCCATTGAGAAGCTGTTGATCTGAAATGTTATATTCTATATGGCATTCGGTATGATGGGCTTCTTTGATCGTCATGGTCGCTGCTCTGGAGGCTTTGACTGAAGTTGTTGTGCAATTAGGGAAAATGAATATCTTTGGTATTGACCTATATATTGAGTTTCTTTTTTTTTTTTTTCCTTTCTAATTTTGTTTCCATTAAGAGTGGGACAAAACACTCATACAATTTTAATGCACGGTTTATTATGCTAATTTTACCACCTTTATCCTCGTGAGTTTACTGTTGAAGATAGCATTGGTTGTTCATCATCTCTTTGCATTTTTGCAGCATTATTGGTAATACTTAAGATGTGAAATGATAGTTCAATTATTGACTTGTCACAAATCATGAAAGAGAGAGAGAGAGCACTAGATCGCTCAAGACTAGATAGGGAGCAAAGAGGAACGAAACAGAGTTAGGTGGCTCAAGACTAGATAGGGAGCAAAGAGGAACGAAACAGAGTTAGGTGGCTCAAGACTAGATAGGGAGCAAAGAGGAACGAAGTAGAGTTTGGTGCCTTTTCTTCGATATTTTCCTTTTAGGATCATCCTTTGGTGAAATTTTAATCTCGTTTCTTGTAAATAAAAAATATTGATAAATCAGTTAATTCTAAGGGCACCTATCTATAAATCAATTTATAGACATCTTCCTTTCATGAATAACCAAACATTGATTGAGAAAGAACGGAAGGGCTCTTTCTTTCTTAACTATTAGAATCCTGCAAAAAAAAAAAAGAGCCATCCAGGTTTTACAAAGGATTGCCATAGGCCTTAGCTGAAGCCTTATCTCCACATGTAATCGCTCAAGTCTACTGCTAGTAAATGTTGTCCTATTTGGGCTTTTCCTCTATTAGGGAGAGGTTTCCACGCCCTTACAAGGATTGTTTTGTCATCCTTTCCAACTGATGATGTGGGATCTCACAATTCACCCCTTTAAGGGCCTGGCATCTAGTTGGTATTGTCCTCTTTGAGTTTCCTTTTAAGTGCTTTCCTTCAAGGTTTTATAAGGCATTAATTACTAGGGAGAGGTTTTCACACCCTTGTAAGAAAATGCTTTGTTCCCAACTTCAACCGAGGTAAGATGTCACACCACGAGAACTTTGCGAACTTGCCTTTTAAGCGTGTCCATATTGATCCCTCAATTTTTCTTGGTGGGCTCTGGGGAAGTTTTAGTTTGTGCAATATTGGTACAACCCACAGAAACCCAAACAACTTCTAGAGATGGCAACTACTAAAAACTGGGGGAAATGCTAGTAAGCTAAACTAACCTAGAATTTGGGTATGCTTGTTTTGCTTCTTGTATTCTACACTGCTCCAGAGTGAATTGATAAGGATGAGCAGAGGAAAGGATGGAACATTCATAAGTACTCCATTGACTAGGGATCATTATAAGGCTAAGCAGATGCCAATTCCAACTGATATTCTAAAGCTGAACTCTTAATCGCTTTTAATATGAATTCAAAACTGCAGTAAGGCAAGAGATGAAAACTTACAAATTCAAGTTCACTGTCAGGTACAGACAACTGAAGAACAATCAAAGCATTAGGGAGACATGTAACCTTCCTCCAAATGTTGTATAGTTCATGATCATATGATTTAGACATGTAATCTTCGCAATTTGCAGTCAATATCAGCAGCTCGTGCCTTGGGGTGGGGAGTGAGTCTGCTAGAAATGGGTATCCAAATAAAACTAAAAGAAGAACATAAATAATAGTAGAAATTAGTTATAAACATTCTGGACAGCTTCCTCCAGGAAGCTCGATCCGATAATCATTCTGAACAACTCATTCTCCAGTCATATTAGGCAGCTAAAATCAACCCCACAATAATTAGAAGATACCAAAAAAAAATATATATATATATATATATATCTAAGAAGCATACCTAACTCAAAACTCAAAAATTTAGCCGAGATATGAATTCGATAATTGCACCAACTTTTGAATCATCGATCTGTTCTCTTCTGCATATCTTCTTGTAAAAGCTCAAACGTGTCAGTGGTAGCCTAAGTTTGACTATCGTTCTTCCTTTCATCGCCTTCTTCTCTCTCCTCCAACAACCTACCAGCTTCCTCTTCTACCTGTTGAGCCTTTCTCTGACCCTCTGCGGCTTTGAGTGCCTGCAACTTCGAATGATTGTAATACGCAACTCCTAAGAAAGCAAGCCCATAACCGAACAAATTAATGGGCGTCACCGTATCCTTAATCACAGACCAGGAGAATGCGATCAATAACCAGTCCTTCACTACTCCAGCAACATTCATGGTCAAAGCAGATGTCTTCCCAACGAGTAAAAACACCGCAAGATTCAAAGCAAAAGCACAGAATGAATTGGTACCAAAAATCAAGAAATCCAAATGGAAGCTGGAAGTATCCCTCAACACAGGGTACTCCATTATTAGCCACGGGACAGACAAGAAAACCAAGCAACACGGAGCCACATAGTAAAGCGACGTGATAGGATTCAGCGAAATACCCTTGGAATTCAACAAAATCTGGATCATCACCAGTCGAGTCGCCTCGAACGCAACCGCCAACAGCTGCAATGTCACACCCTTGGAATTAAATCTCGCCTCTCCGTACGCAGCGATCGCAACACCAAGCGTGATCGAAACCATATTAGCCATAGTATCAGACTTATACTTCTCCTTCTTCAGCGAAACTCCAATCAGGTACACAGAGACCGGCATCAAAGCCTTGAGCATCTGAATAAAAGAAACCGATAGATAGATATATGCTGAATTAGAAAACCAAAG